ACTTCTGAGCTCAAGCGATCCACACACCCTGGCCTCCCAAAGTGCTGGGATTACAAGCACTGACCACACCTGGCCTATCTTGACAGTTTCTTTTAAAGCCAAAACTCTAAAATTATCAAACCATCCTTTGCTAGTATTAAATTCCCCAGCTTTAGATTCTTCAGCTCCCTTTTGCTTTAAGTTGTTATATAACAACTTCTCTTTTTCTTGAATCGCATTAGATTCTATAGGTATGCCTTTCTTTTAGCAATCTTGCTCTCATATAAAAGCTGGGTTACCAATACCAAATAAAAATACATTTTTCTCACCTGCTGCTGAGAAAAAAAAGATGCAAGGTTTTCTCACCTGCTGCAGTGAAGTCTTTACAAATTATCTTTTCTTTTTTTAACAATGATTTTACACTGTATGATTCATTTATCTTTAAAAGGTAAGCAACTGCAGCTTCAGACCTCTATTTATGGTACATATCGAGCAATTCAACTTTTTCTTGTAATGTTATGACTTTTCTCAATTCTCGGGAGCACTTCCACCATAACTATTAGGGCTTCATATGGGTCTCATCGTGTTATTCAAGATTTACAGCATTGCACTAAATACAATAAAACATATGCAAGAACCATGAGAGATCACTTTTTGCTGTGATACACAATTTACAGGGAAATGAACTGCTCACATGGAGATGATTAGTGTCATCAGATACTTGTAACACTTGAGCTCACTGAAATAGCAACAGGAGGTCCTGAGAAATTATTACTCAGTACAATATGCATTACAATTAATTTTGTACAGTTATAATTTCATATTACATCTATGTTTATAGTTCTGTCAAATGTGAATGGTGCTATTTATGGTCTGTGTTTGTGTGCATAACTTTTAATACATTTTAATTTTTATAAGACGTATATACTAGTATATTTTATGCACTCATAACATACTTTTTCTTGATTTTTTCAATATATCTAGCTACCTCGTTTGAGAGTTATTTTAAATAGTGGCAATCTCCAAAAAAACTTCCAATATATTTATTGGAGAAAATCTGCATAAATTGACCTGTGTAGTTTAAATCCATGTTGTTCAAGGGTTAACTAGTAATTTTTCATTATTAGCATTATTAAATTTGAGGAACTTTCACGCCAATTCTCAATCTGATATACTATGATACCATAGAATTGGTAACTCTCCTAACAGGCAGTGAAATGTCCAGTAGCATTTTTTTTTTCTCCTATTGGTTAGCTCCAAACAGCCCTTTACCAATTTATTATTGATTCACAGCATCTCGGGTTATAAGAAATCTTAGAGGTTAATTTCTAGCAATTGATATAGTAGCGGAAGAAATAAGATGTCTCATAAGGCAAACTCTTCCCAGAATAATTCCAGTTTGCAGGATTTCAAGATGGGTCCTCATGGAGTTCTCATTCCCTTCTCTTTCCATTAAATGCTTAGATTTCTGTTCACTGCATTTCAGTGAAGTTTTCTTTTAGAGATTTAAGGGACTCTGGCAGAGAGGCCAAACACTAGTGGGGCCTCATTATCAAGTAGTATGTTGCTAAGTATAAGGCAAGGTAAAACTGAAAACTGCCTGGTTTCCTGCCATATAGCACATTACAGAGGAAAAGTCAAGGGGCAAAGCTTGCAGATCCATTCTTTGCATGCAAAAAGAAAACACTCATGTAAGACTTGGATTTTAGCTTCTTTACAATGTTAGAAATGGTTTTTCACCAACCACTACTAGTCTACCAGTTCCTGCTTCCTTGGACTACTGAGACATTGGTAATAGAATTGACTGTCATAACCATCAGAGCCTAAGGTCATGAAATATGACAGATTCTTTGCTGTTGCTTATCTGGAAGCTTCATTCTTGGCCAAAAAGGCTCTATCCAAAGAAGCTAATGAGTTCATTAAAGTAGATCCCAAAGCAGGAAGCAGAATGTGCCTATTCATCAGTGGAAGTGGAACTTCTTTGGTATCATTTAGGTTTAAGAATCATACTTTTTGAGAATGGACTTATAATGGAACTGTGATATAACTGCAAAAGCTATGGACAATAAGAGGAATGAGTCTATATCCATACATTTGATTTAACAGATGAATAAGGATTTAACTCATTAAAAAAAAAAAAACAGAGCTAGGTTTTTCTCTTTTAAATACATATGCATTGAAATGAAATAATATGCCCTTTGAGTAAGTTTAAATGCTGGCCCAGGGATTAGTTTACAAAGCAGAAAAGTGGTTTGGCCCTCATTTTCCAATTCTCTCTCATGTTCAATGCAGTGAATGTTACGTTTGTGTGTGCCAACCAGGGCATGCTCACAGAAGGCGAGAGTGCTAGTGGAAAGAAAAAGAGAAGGACACCACGGGAAAAAAAATATTAATGAGCAATTTTTCCACCCCAGGAAAACAATCTCCAGGCTTCAGAAGGCTGAGTGCAGTGATTCCTCTTCATTTCATTCAGAATTTGAAGACCGGAGACAACGCGGCTTTGAGAGAGAAGCATTTTGTGTTGCCTTTGTAGTCCTAAACAATAACAGCTCCAGAGTCCCAGAGATAAACCTATAGGGCATCCTTCAAACTTGTTACAAAAGTACGTTATGTAGTGGCAACCCTTCTGTGGATCATGGTCCGACAAGTTCTTACTCCTACCTGAAATGCCCACAATTCTGGGGGGAAAAAAATTGACTGTCCCTTATATATGTATTGAGATTTGGACCTTGACTGAAGTCTTATCCCATCTGAAACTCACCATCTTCAAGAGGGATAATCCAATGTCCTTATGCATAGATACAGATCGTCAGAGTTAACCATGTAGTAATAGATTGTGAACTTTAGGACTCCATGGCTGGGAAGGAGGAAGAAATGTGTCTACAGGGACTGGCTAATAGAGAGACGGTACCAAAACTCTAAAGCACAAGCATAGTGCGTATGTTTTTCCTCATAAATAATAATAGGTTAGACACAGTGGCTCATGCCTGTAATCCCAGCACTTTTCGAGGACAAGGCAGGTAGATCATTTGAGATCAGAAGTTTGAGACCAGTCTGATCAACAAGGTGAAACCTCATCTCTACTAAAATACAAAACATTAGCCAGGCCTGGTGGCAGGATCCTGTAATCCCAGCTACTGAGGAGGCTGAGATAGAATTGCTTGAACCTGGGAGGCAAAGGTTGCAGTGAGCAGAGATCGCACCCTGCACTCCAGCCTGGGTAATGGAGCGAGACTCCTTCTCTCTTTTTTTTTTTTTTTTTTTTTTGAGACGGAGTTTCGCTCTTGTTACCCAGGCTGGAGTGCAATGGCACAATCTCGGTTCACCGCAACCTCCGCCTCCTGGGTTCAGGCAATTCTCCTGCCTCAGCCTCCTGAGTAGCTAGGATTACAGGCACGAGCCATCATGCCCAGCTAATTTTTTGTATTTTTAGTAGAGACAGGGTTTCACCATGTTGACCAGGATGGTCTCGATCTCTTGACCTCGTGATCCACCCGCCTTGGCCTCCCAAAGTGCTGGGATTACAGGCTTGAGCCACCGCGCCCGGCCGAGACTCCTTCTCAAAAACTAAATAAATAAATGCAGTAATAAACCACATTTACTAGAGTATTCACAGATTCTGAATTTCACTAATTTTTTGTGCCCCCCCTTCCCCTTTCTCCAGTGCTCAGCACAATTCATAGCACATACTAGGTGCTCAAAACAGATGTGTCGAATCAGTCAAAGAAATAAACGAATAAAATAACATACCCTTCTGCACATGTTTTAGTTCTTCTGATCTTCTATTTCTTCATCTGTAATGTGGGGATAATGTTATTTCGCGTGTTTGTTTTCAAGATGAAATAATATAGCATACCTTATACAATGTGTAAAATGTCAAATGCTATGCTCAGAGGTACAAGTGGAATTTTAAGTCTGCAGGTATGTTTCAGATTAAAAAAAAATTCACACCAAAAGCTATAGGTGGGATGAGTTAATTAATCTCAAACATTTAACTAACAGGAAGAAAGAAATAGGGCATGGTAGGAGGAGAGAAAGGAGGACAGTTAGGGACATAGTGAATACTCTTAAAGTCAGTTGAATTATTTCGTACGAGGTAATTTTTCTTGTCACAATAAATCACTCTGTGCCCCATCCCCGCTCCAAGAAGGCAGGGAGGTTGTAAAGGAGAAGCGAGAGGAGGGTTAATTTGGGCTCCCTCCTGCCTGCTGCAGTAAATGAAGGTGACGCGGCCATATATTTCATCTGAACTTCCTCTGTGGTCTTTTTAATATTAAAGTCCTCCACCGTTACAGGACTGTGCTTGGAAAAGTTGGAAAACTTTTCCCTTGGTGGAGGAAAAGACGCCCTCGTCAGACGCAATCCAACAAATGAATGGAGTTAGTCCCTTGGCCCAACATCTCCATCCGCTAGTATACCAGATATTCATAGAAACATGTTTCCTCACTTCCAAGGCCGGAATTTTACTCTCCCGTGGCGTTGCCTAGTATCGGATGCGCAGATTTCGAAAGTGAGCAGGCAACTGACTTGGCTTTGAAACCACGGTGGTTGGCTTTTCTAGGAGTCGATGCGAGTACTGTCCTGTGTGGTAGCTTCTCCCGGGAGCAGAATGTGTAAAATAAACAGTTGCTGAAAAGCATGAAGAATTAACGAAGTGAAAATCTCGGGTTATTTGTTCGGCAATTGACACGCAAGTGACCTCCTTAAATGCCTAGTCGTTTAAGGACAGTGAGAGCGAGGATGAATGAATCCTCAGGGTGCTTAACTCGCACCGGCGTGTAAATGTCTTCAGTCTCTCGGGAAGTGGCCTTACAGTCAGACAAACCCAGCAGCGAGGTGAAAAAGGAGGGTAAAACCATGGCCTCGGAGCTCTCTTCCCAACGTTGTGGAAAGACTTGCCTTTGCTGCACGGAACCCTGGAGGTTACAGCTGGGGGAACCCGGAGGCGCTAGGACCTGGTGGGCGCCCTGGATGCGGCCGCTTTCAGGAGGGCGGAGGAGGGAGAGGAGGAGGGGGAGGTGGGAAAGGAGGGGTGTTAAGGGGGGCGGGGGAAGTCATTTATGCAGAGCAGGCGCTGCTGCCATTGCCACTCAGAATCCCCGCGCGCTGCTCGGAGCCGGAGGGATCGCAGGGAGCGAGCAAGCGAGCGCTCGGAGCCTGGGCCAGCAGAGGGGGCGCCCGGTCGCTGCCTGCACCGCTCTCACTGGCTGTCTCCGCCGCGCTCGGGGGCCCCGGGAGGAACGAGAGCGAGTCGGAGAGTCCGGGAGCCGAGCCCGGCGAAGCCCAACTGCGGAGGACGCCCGCCCCACTCAGCCGCCTCCTGCGCCCGAGCCGGGGAGCATCGCCGAGCGCTCCGCGGGCCGGAGAGCTGGGAGCACAGGTCCCCGCGGCCCCAGGGATGGTCTAGAAGCCGGCGCGAGGCTCGCTGCTCTGCTCCGTGCGGGGGCTAGCCGCCTCCTACCGATCGCCCGGGGCTGCGAGCTGCGGCGGCCAGGGGCTGCGCGCCGGGCGGCCCAGGCCGGAGAAGTTAGTTGTGCGCGCCCTTAGTGCGCTGAGCCAGCCAGCCAGCGAGCTAGGGAGCAGCGAGGCGCCAGGACGATGGGCTGGGGGAGCCGCTGCTGCTGCCCAGGACGCCTGGACCTGCTGTGCGTCCTGGCGCTGCTCGGGGGCTGCCTGCTCCCGGTGTGCAGGACGCGCGTCTACACCAACCACTGGGCAGTCAAAATCGCCGGGGGCTTCTCGGAGGCCGACCGCATCGCCAGCAAGTACGGATTCATCAACATAGGACAGGTAATGAACTACAAGCTGGCCCAGCCCTAGGCCCTGAAGCCACTGGGGGCTTCTTGTCCCCTCTGCGTGAAACCCCCTCCCCCTCTTCCAGATGTGCTCTAGCAGCTGTTGCCCTAACTCTTGGGCGATGCTCTGTCTCCCGCGCGCGCGCGGACACACACACACACAGACACCCCAAAGTTGCCGGGTCCATGTTTTGTTTACTTGTCTTTTGCAAGCCACGCGGGACTGGTAGGGTCTTGGGAAAAATCCAGAGTGCCACCATGGTGGTTTCAGAGACGGCTGGACCTTTTAACCCGAAAAGTCGAGTAACACTAGAAATCCGAGGCAAAGTCTCAGAGGGTGATCGTGGGGAGAGGAGGATTTGAGGTCTTTTCGGGGATAGGGGGTGAGCGCGCCTCTGATGCCGGCGGGGAGGAAAAGCCTTTCCTGCTCGGATCTGAATTTAGCCCAGAAAGAAGTTTCCTCTTCTTGGGCGAGAGAACCGCTGGCGCTGGAGACGCCGGAGGCGCGAGGACTGGAGCTGGAAGGGAGGAGAAAGGAGGGGAGGGAAGAGGGGGCGGGACCCTGTGTGAGCGAAGATTTAGGGGAGACCTCTAGGCTTCGCCTTAAGCGAGGTCCGCGCGGGGGCTCCCGGAAGGGAGTTGGAGTGAGGAGGTGGGAAACTTCCGAAACCTGCTGGCTGGGTTCCGCTCCGGGAAAACAAGGAGTCTTACCCTGGGACGGAAGGTGCCAGGCCGGGAGGCTGCGCTGTGGGGCGAGAGTTGGGCAGGCAGCAGGGCGCGGGGTTTTTGTGGGGTGCTACTTGCGGGGTTTTGGCAGAGCTTCGCTGCTAGGGAGAAATGCCAATAAATTAAGGTGAAGCTATGAGGATGATTGGGAGTGGAACGGATTTGGAAGTACTCCGGGTTCAGTGGTCCTGGCTTCCTAGTTCTCTTCCCCCTACACCCCTGCGAGAAATGAGGGTAGAGAGGGCTATGAAAGTGAGTCCCATAAAGTACCCCCCCCACCACCACCACACACACACACATACACACACACCGCAAGTATCTTTGGGGCTGGCCGGAGGAGCTGGCCCCGGCTGGGCTCTGGCGAGAATCCGCTGGAATGGGAGGTGATGGATGGCCACTTTCCAGCAGGCGCGCTTTGGGGACTGCCCCGGGTGCACGCACCCCGCGTGCTCTGCCAGGGGGAAGGGAGAGGGAGGTGCTGGCTGGTGCCAGTGGAGTGGTAAGAGTACGGGCAGTTTCTGAGGCCACTGCGTTGCACGCCCAGGAACCCGGGGACACCCCCTGCTCCTCCCCGCCCGCCTGGGGAATGCGGTGCCTGGAGAGGAGGCAGAGCTGCTGTCGCTGCATCTAGAAGGAGCTGGGGAGCGCGGGAGTGTTCCGAGGAGCAGGAGCACAAGATCTTGCTCTTTGCCCGCCCAGAGGGAGGACTCATTCCAGAGAAGCTAGCCCTGTGGAGAACTCAGACTAGGGCAAGGGGCACGGTTTTTATTCCCTCCCGCCCCTGGAAGTGAGGAAGTAAGGGAAGCCAGCCAGATTTTGTTGCTTGAGTGCCTGTCATCTGCGGAAGATTTCCATTCTAAAGGCTTGTTGGGATTCTACTGGCTGCTTTTTCTCTGGAAGAAAACACCGAGTCCGTTCAGGTCTTGTTACGTGAACTTAAAGTTGGGCACTGCCTATGCCCTGAAAGTAGCTAGTAGTAGTAATCATCTCGGGTTCTGCTAACACTGAACATCTCACACCTGCCAGGCATTTTTGGAATAATAGATTCTTGAACGTACCCTTCTTTCTTAATGTCAAAACAACCTTGTTTGGCAAATGTCACCTCACACACAGGAGATGAGGAAACTGAGACCAGCTGGACAGTGGCAAAGCCATGATTCAGATCTGGGACTCTGACTGTTGCAAGCCCACTCCCCCTTGGATCCTGCCTTTAGGGAACCCTTCCATCCTATGGGTGAAGGAGGAAGTAAGTAAAATCTCCGTTTCCTTGAATTCTGATTTTCCAGTAGACTAGAAGCAAATATCTGGTCTCAATTCACAGCTATTTAGTTCAAACAAACCTAGATTTCTTGACTTGAAGAACAAGGGCAGAAACAGCTGTTACCTCTCTGAATTAAATGAGCAGAACTGGTATATTACAGAATCTGGCATAGTGAGATGGGAGAAATTGTCACGCAATCCGTTTTTGAATAAGCCAGCATTGCAATGTTCTGCAACCTCTGCCTGACTTTTGACAAAAGGCCTTATAATGAAGAGTTGTGGCTTTGCATTAAAAAAGTAATACTAAGAAAGTTTACATACAAATAACACCAAAGATGATTTATTGTGGTTTTTACAGCGCCGATGAGGACATTTAGTGCTTATAGGGATTACGGAGGACCCCTTAAACCAGTGTAAAAAGATCAGCTATTCTACAGTGGAGAGCATTTCCTCTGTAGATCAAAGGAGCTTAAGCCTATGCTAAGTCTTTGGGGTGGTAAATTGAGTTCACACGTGCAATATCATTGCACTGTAATGGCCAAATGTATTCCTTATTCATCCTTTACTGCTGTGACCTTTCAACACTTTAGACATCCTTTTGTTTTTCTTTTTCCATCAGTAAAGCAGCTGTGGATCAGTTGAGGGCAGTAACTAATTTGCAAATGTCTCTGGAATGTTCTGGTTTTTACCCATTTGGGCTTGGGGTCTTATCTTATATATTGCAAATTGGAACTGAAACTTGTTATTATTTCTGAAGCCATTTAGCAACCTGGTAGTATTTTTAATATCTTCAGTGAAGGTACGGTTTTGACCATTTACTCAGAATATCAATGTAATGTTTTGTGTAGCATCTTAGCCTTTAAAAGTCTCCAGAGGTAACATTTCTGACTTGGGAGTTTCTATGGAGAAGAATAGTTGTGCCTGTTCTGTTCATAAAAGATGGGATGTGAAGAGTAACACAAGAAGCCAACAAACCAGCAAAAAGGACGTGCTTGACTTCCAGAAGGGAACACAAATGAGGATGTTCTTGCCTTTATTTATAGAGCGAGCACATGTTTTCACAAAATGTTTATATTTTGTGAATGATTGTGCCTTGAAATCCTGCAATAATAATACTTAACCATAATCATTGTTAGTTGTGGTCATGTTAGCTTATATTATATTTTGGTTGGCATCAGAATCAGAGTCAGAATGCCCTGCTTTTCTTCCCTACAAGTTCTGACTACAAGCCCTCTTAGTATCTAGTCGGACGAGCACCTTCTGAGCTGCCCGAGAGTAGGAGGTGTGCATGCCTATTGACCTGCACAGGAATGGAGCAAGAGGCCTTTGTCCTCACTCACTAATCATGTGCTCTGACCCTTTGAGCTAACAATCTACTGGTTAGAGAATTGAAATGATGTAAAGGAATAAGACCTGACATATTGTTAATTGTGGACCTCCATTCAGACTAAATCTGCAAAGAAGAATTAATGTCTGGTTATTAGAATTCAGGGAGAAGGTCCCCTGTGAACAAACAGATTGTTTGCAATGCTCAATAGCTGTATTTATCCTTCTGCGAGTTGCTTATAATCCTTAATTCCAGCCTGAGTTTACCAGTAGCAAAGCCCCTTCCCCAAACCACGTAACAGTTTGAGTAACACCTCTAAAGGATAAAACTAGATGCAAGCCATACTGACTGGGAAAATATTTTACCTAGAGCCCCCCTGTTGATAGCATGTGGACTTGGAAACTCTGGAGAGGCCACTTTCAAGGCTGTGAAAGCAGGAAAGTCACTGAACTTAATGGAGCCTCTGTTCCTTCATCTGTAAAATAATAAATCTCTAGATAATAGAGCGAGTTAACTATGCATTGCTCAGCACATAGTTAGGCTTGCAGCAAAAGGTTTGTTTAATCTGAATCTGAGGAGAAAGGTCAAAATAAATGAGATCCAAAGTTTTAGATAAGGAGAAAGGAAGACATTTTTAAAATGGAGATGTAAAATGTGAAGATCAGGAAAATTAATATTTGAAGATTGCATTGCAAGAGCTATATCGTAGTTTTGTAGGCAGGGTAAATGATTTTCCTTTTCAACAAGTAATTTAAAATATTAATAGCTTAAAAATAGTTTTATGTTAGATTCTAAAGAATTAGGATTGATTTCCCATGGGAGGGCCCTCTTCCCTCATGGGTCCTTGTCATAGACCATGAAAGGTTATAGGATCAGCATACTGCAGATGGACGAAAGGGAGGAAAAATACCTGAGAAATTTTGTTAAATTATATTTGCAATTACATTCTGTTTTTCATTCTGAATGTAGCTGTATGAGTAAAGCCAGAAGAAACATTTTCCAAGTAGGTAGGAAGAGATACATGAGCGGAAGAACTTTATTCAGAGATGTCCTGAACACCTCCCACCCTGCTGATTAATTTTGAGCTGTGAATATTATAGGATGCTTGAAAGGTTGATTCACAGTGGGCAGTGAATTCTGGGTGCTTATGGATAGTACTGGAAATAGAGGATGTGGTTAGTCTGAGGGGTTGTGTGGGAGTGGATTGTGCTTGCCTAATAAATTCTTAGGCATTTTGTAAACGGGAGACTTAACTGGTGCTGTAGTCCCAGGTTGATCTCTGGGTGATACATCTGGCTTTGCACGGGGCAGCTCTTTATGCCCAAAAACCTTAGCCCTGATCCCTGCCACCCACTCTCATATGCATATATATATATTTTGAGACAGAGTCTCTGTCACCCAAGCTGGAGTGCAGTGGAGCGATCTCAGCTCACTGCAGTATCTGCCTCCCAGGTTCAAGCGATTCTTCTGCCTCAGCCTCCCTAGTAGCTAGGACTATGGGCACACACCACCACACCTGGCTAATTTTTGTATTTTTAGTTGAGACGGGGTTTTACCGTGTTACCCAGGCTGGTCTTGAACACCTGACCTTGTGATCCGCTCGCCTTTGCCTCCCAAAGTGCTGTGATTACTGGCATGAGCCACCACACCCAGCCACATATTTCTTATGATGAGGCCAATGA